GTTTTTACAAGCGGACCAGAGACGTCGCTATGTTATGCTTACCTTAATTGGTGATGTCATATATTACCTCCCGCTTATGGGTAAAGTGCAGCATAAAGCGAAACTTTCTAAATGATTTCATATTATTTAATCCCCGTTGTCAAAATAAAATAATTTGCAGTGAACAGTCCCGACAACCCAGTAGAGTTATCTCTACAGAGAGATAAAGTTAATTTTTGATTGTTATCACCATTTCATAATAAATGGCTGCCAACATTGTATAGGCTGTTCACAGCCACAAACAATTTTTTTTGTTCATGCAGTTGCTATGGATATTTCTGGTTGTTAAGAGTACATCCACAAGAAACCTGTTGCCATAACAAATGGTGTGAGTGAGACATAGTATAATTAAAAATACTAGAAAATCCAAACCGATTAAATCCTCCTTGCTAATGGCAAGGTAATGCTTGCTATGTTGCAAAATTTCATTTCATATCTGTGTACCACCTGACATGCACGCGCGGTATACTGTGTGGTTGTTATGAACATGTTTGTTTTGTTGGGACACACACATTTGATTAATTTATATTTTAATATTTCACATATTTTGCAAGAGCATTTAGTCATATTTCTAAACGGCAACAGTGATTTTATATCAGAGTTACCGTGGGGAGCTACCCTGTTCACACATGCAGAAAAGAAAATGAAGGGAGGAGGAGTAGAGTAGAAAACTATTAAAGTTTCATATTAAAAAACATCGACTGCTGTCATAAAAATACCAAACCTGACACCTAGCAACAGTAACCATAAACAATGGGATGCTTACAATGAAATTCTATATTAGGTGAATCAGCACTTACCTTAAATTGTACACGTTAAGTACAAAAGTATTCAGTCAGTTGTGTGCAGCAGGGTGATAGCAGAGACTATGGTCCAAAAACTGGTATCTGGTCATATATTTAAAGATTTATTTGACCCAATTGACCCAACCAAAGTCTTTACAAGCGGACCAGAGACGTCGCCATGTTACGCTTACATTAATTGATGATGTCATATATTACTTCCCGCTTATGGGTAAAGTGCAGCATTAAGCGAAACTTTCTAAATGATTTCATATTATTTAATCGCCGTCGTCAAAATAAAATAATTTGCAGCGAACAGTCCCGGTAACCCTGAAGAGTTATCTCTACAGAAAGATGAAGTTAATTTGTGATTGTTATCACCATTTCATAATAAATGGCTGCCAACATTGTATAGGCTCTTCACAGCCACAAACAATTTTGTTCTTCATGCAGTTGCTATGGACATTTCTGGTTGTGAAGAGCACATCCACAAGAAACCTGTTGCCATAACAAATGGTGCGAGTGAGACATAAAATAATTATAAACACTAGAAAATCCAAACAGATTAAATCTTCCTTGCTAATGGCAAGGTAATGCTTGATATGTGACAAAATTCCATTTCATATCTGTGTACCACCTGATTTGCACGAGCGGTATACTGTGTGGTTGTTATGAACGTGTTTGTTTTGTTGGGACACACACATTTGATTAATTTATATTTTAATATTTCATATATTTTGCAAGAACATTTAGTCATATTTCTAAACAGCAACATTCACTATATATCACAGTTGCCTTGTGCAGCTACCATATGCATACATGTAGAAAGGGAAATGAGGGGGAGTAGAGTAGAAAACTTCTATAGTTTCATTTAAAAAAAAACATCGACTGCTGTCATAAAAATACCAAAACTGACATCTAGCTATAGTAACCATAAGCAAATGAACGAAATGTGTTCAAATATCATAACTAGTTATAACTTTCAATACATCATATGTTTTCCAAATTTATTTGGCTTTCAATTATTCAGTCAGTTGTGTCGAGCAGCGTGATATCAGCAACTATGGACCAACAATTGTTATTTGGTAATATTTTTATGATTTATTTGACCCAATTGACATGAAGTGTTTACAAGCGTACCAGATACATCGCTATATTATGCTTACATAGTATATAAGAATTCAGTCAGTTGTGTCAAGCATGGTGATATCAAAAACTACAGAACAACAATTGTTATTTGGTCATATTTTAAAGATTTATTTGACCCAAAGTACTCAAATATTTAATATCCATGCAAAAGAAACTAATTCCACACAAGCATATCAAATAGAACGATATGGATAATTATTCTGGCTAGTATAAATGACCAAAGCTGACAAATTTCTAAATGGTTGCATATTATTTCATCTCCGTCATCAAAATCAATAATTTACAGTGCACAGACCCGGTAACCCAGTAGAATTATCTCTCTGCAGAGATAATTAAGTTAATTGTTGATTGTTATCACAGTTTTATAATATTTGGTTGCCAAAATTGTAAACAAGCAATTTGTTCTTCGTGCTGTTGCTTTGTACGTTTTCTGGTTGTTAAGGACACATCCGCAAGACAGTTGTTGTCATAGCAAGTGTTGTGAGTGAGACATAAGTTGATAAAAAGTGAATCCTGGTTGCTAATGGCGATGTCATGGTTGCTATGTGCCAAAATGTCAATTCATACATGTATACCACGCGAGCGATATCCCATGTGGTTGTTATGGACATGTTTGTTTTGTTGGGACACACACATTTGATTAATTCATATTCATATAAGCATTGTAAGAGCATTGAGTCACATTTATAAACGACAACAGTCACAATATATGATAGTTACTTTGGGGAGCTACCCTGTGAACACATGCAGAAAGGGGTGTGGGGAGGTGGGGGAGAAGACTAAGAGTAGAGTTTTAGAAAGTCGGTTACAAAATATATCGCGAAAGTTATGTTTTTTTAATAAAAGTATTGCGGTAATGTGTGGTAAGAATGTAATCATATTTGTCATTTGTTTCTTTTGAACCACTTTTAACCAGGAAATTAAATTAAATTTGAATTTAATTGTTTTCCATATAATTATCCTATTGATTTGATTTTTATATACTCCAACAGACAGTAAAACATACAACAATAATATTTGATGACAGATTAGAGCAATCTGGAATATTTGTATAAGGTAGAAGCCTGATCATGAAAATGATCATGAAAATAACCTGACATCATCTGTTTGCAATAAATTGCACATGTTTATCAGTATCCGGCCTACAAGCTATATTTTCGAGAAATTTGTATTTACATTATTGCAAATGGCTATCATTTTATCAGTATTAGATCATGTGATATTTGTCCAAGGTGGAAATATTTAGCCAAATCTCTAGTGACTGGTGACATAGAGTGAAATAAATATTTATTTTGAAAAATCTGGGTTTTAAAAAGTCATAGAAAATATTATCTTGTTTCAAACAATGTGCAACTAAAATGGATCATGAGAAACAGAGAAAAAAATATTGTCACATACACTCTAAAGGGGCATATTATTTTCTTATACTGTGTTAATGTGTAAATGAATCATTGAACTTGTTATTTTAAAATGTGTGGAGAAGTATGTAATATATACCTGTATGTATGATGAGTGAGTATATGTATAATAAAATCAATGCTACATGACTGAGTCTCCAGGCTCAACCTAACAGAGGAGTCATTTTTGTTAGAGTTTCTTATTTTAAAATTGGGGATGTGCTGGGGGACGTAATGAAAAACTCTTATATGAGTGAGTCAACAACGACTGCACAATATAACATAACTGGGAATTAAATTGTTGTCGGCCTGGGGAATACATGTGAATACATGTGAATATGGTGAACGCCCAAATAGTCACTGATTTCAGTGTAACTAATTAAATGAACATCTTTAGATGTTGTCCTCAGAAATATCTTGAAAATGTATATATAAAAACAACATGTATTTGAGCCCCGCTCATCGTGATCGAGATTTGCGCTGTTTCAAACACTCCCTACCACGAATTCTTAATTAGCTTGGGAGAATGTCTTGGCCAGTTGTCGGCCAAAGGCAAATCATGTATTCTTCTCGGCGATTTTAACATTCACACATCCACTAACTCCACAGCTGCCAATAATTACCTCGCACTTCTGAATTCATATAACTTCACTCAATTGATTAACAGCCCCACCAGAGTAACGGACACATCAAATACTACCATTGATCACCTATTAACTAATATCTCCGACTTTTTTTATTGAGTGTGGGGTTATCGAAAGCAACAATACTGATCACTATCCGATCTTTGGCACCATAAAAAACCTACATCACGTATTCAAATCTACATCTGGCATTTTCGATTTTTACAATTACAACTCAATTTTTGAGCGATTTAGGCAAAGTCACTTGGCAGCCCGTATATGACTGTTTGGATCCAAACAAAGCGTATAACACATTCTATGACATTTTCCCACACTATTTCCTCTGAGCACCTGAAGAAAAAACAGCTAACATTAACAAAAACATGCCAATAAGCCATGGCTATCGAAGGGTTTGCTAAAATCAACCAAAACTAAATATAAAGTTTTCACAAAAATGAAAAAAAATCCACATAATATCCAGATACGCACTTATTATAGAAAGTATAGGAATCTTCTATGTAAACTGCTCAAAGTGGCCAAGAAACGTTACTACACTAATAAATTAAACTCTGCTAACAATAATCAGAAATGGCAGGTGATCAATGAAATTCTCAATAAAACCACTAATAACATTCCACAAAAGCTCGTCAATGCTGATGACAACATTCTAACTAACAACACTGATATCGCCGAGGAAGTTGTCGCATTCTTTACTAATATTGGACCGAATCTAGCTGATAACATAACTAACAACGGTGATCATAACAAATATCTCAATAGATGCCAGTCTAAATCATTCTTTTTCCATTCTGTGTCTGAGCATGACGTTTTCACCGGGATCAATCATTTAGACTCCATAAAGTCTGTTGGTTACGATCTAATTCACTCAAAACTTGTAATTCAGTCATCTTTCATTATCTCAGCTCCCCTTGCGCACATCATTAACTGCTCATTTATAAAAGGTATTTTCCCAGATCAGCTAAAAATAGCCAGGATTACTCCAGTATTTAAACGAGGATCCAGCACATATGTGGGAAATAACAGGCCTATTTCGATTCTTCTTGTCATTAGCAAAATTTTTGAGACAATTGTTGGCAAACAAATAACTAATTACTTAGAAAAATATGAAATACTACAAAAATTCCAGTATGGTTTTCGGAAAAAACACAATACTAAACTGGCCCTGGCTGACTTAGTCAAAGACATAGTTACAAATCTGGACAATGGATATATCACTATTGGTATATTTATTGACCTAAAAAAGCATTTGATACCATTGACCATAGCATATTAACCAGTAAACTCGAAAATTATGGATTTAGGGGCACAGTACTACAGTGGTTTACAAACTACCTCTCCGACCGCAAGCAGTATGTTGTAGTTGACACGAGCACTTCGTTGCCCAGAAATATATCCTGCGGTGTTCCACAGGAATCAATTCTCGGCCCAATCTTATTTGTCTTGTATATAAATGTTATTTCTAACTCTTCTAGCGTCTTCAATTTCCGCCTTTTTGCGGACGACACAAATCTTTTCAAAGTTTTTAGAAATATTGTTATTGATCTCAACAACATTAACACTGAATTCCAGAAGGTGTGCAACTGGTGTAATGCAAATAAATTAACCATCAAAACAGGCAAAACTAATTATATGTTAATTAAAACACCCCAGAAATCAATTCATACTTGTGGTAACGTTAAAGTCCAAAATAAAACTATAGAGGGCGTATCATCTACAAAGTACCTGGTTGTGACAATTGATAATACATTTAATTGGAAAGAACACATAGAACAAATTTGTAAAACTATTTCACCTAAAATTGGTATTTTGTCTGAAATCCGTCATTTTGTCCCAACATCTATTCTTATCCTGCTTTACAACTCTCTCATTTTACCACATATTACTTATTGTATTGAAATATGGGGTAACACCTACAAAACCTTTCTTGACAAAATTCTACTGCTCTAGAAAAAAATTGTTCGCTTGATAACGTTTTCAGATTTTCGTGCCCCACGGCCCTCATATTTAAAAAAAACTAAATATTTTAGACATCTATAAACTCAGTAAGTTCCACACCTGTCTGTTTGTTTTTTATCTTAATAAGAATTCGTTTGCCCATAATGTTGACCACTACTTAAAACCTTTTCCTCATAACTATGCAACACGTCAAGCTACTAGTTCCAATTATTATATTCCTAGAATGAATCTTACTACTAATCAACACAGTATCACCTATACAGCAGCAAAAAAACTGGAACTCACTTCCTGGTTCCATAAAAATTATCAAAAGCAGATACATATAAAAAAAATCTGTTAAAACTGTATCTTATGAATCAGTAAATGCGCCATGTATATAATTATTTTTTATTTATCTTTAAGTTAAGCGTGCTATGCATTTAATTAATAACATCAGTATTATGAACTATATCTGTGGTCCTCACTAGAATTATTATTATTATTATTATTATTATTATTGTGTATATTATTTATTATATATTTTCTGGTGACAACAACAACAAACAACAAGTTGTCACCAGAGAGCATGAAATGCATGTTTCGAATTGGCCACTGTCTTCTCTTAATTTTGTATGTGCCACATATACCACATTTTTGACAAAAGGTCAACAAAGACGTTCCTTTCATCTTTATAGATATTTATTAAATTAAGTAGCACATTGACGTCATGTGATAACATTTCAATGCCATTCAATCTGGTGATATATTTTTAAAACGCTCGTTTTAGTTTTAAATTTATAGAAATTTTTAAAAAAATTTGGAAAGAACGGGTTTGTTGTTCCGAGGATAATTTTATTCTAATAGCGTCACGTCTAGTTGAAAAGAGGGAATAATATAAAATACCGCTGATGGCGTACTTCTAAAAAACGGCCATTGTTATTCTACTCCTGGGAAAATCATTTACTTCTTGGAATGTCTGTGCAGAGATTTTTTCTTCTTGCAAAGTGTCTATAAAATCTTTCACTCATTTCAAAATGTCTGCAAAGTATTTTAACTTCTGGCCAAGTGTTTTCAAAGTATTGTTTCTCCTTGCAAAATGTCTGCAAAATATTTGACTCCTTGCAAAGTATATGCAAAATAATTTTACTTTTTGCAAAGTGACTGCAAAGTATTGTTACTCAATGCAAAGTGTGTGCAAATTATATTGACTCTTTGCAAAATGTTTAAAAAAGAGTTTGACACCTTGCAAAGTGTCTGCAAAGAATTGTGAAACCTTGCAAAGTGTGTGCAAGGCATTTCACTCCTTTTCACTCAAAAGTGTATTTGAAGTATTTTACTCCTTTTTAAAAAAGAAAATTAGGATTATTTGTATTTGTTAATTAAAAGTTGATCAGTAATAATATTTATAATTATACGTAGTTGCATGTCTTGGTTGAATAGTATGCTGGTTTGAAGAAACAAAATTTATATTGATTTTCCATATGTTACTTTATGCATATTTATTAGCAAATAATATAAAAGTAGAGTGGTGGATGGCAAAATAGTGGGTTTATTAAATATGCAATGAATATACAGGCTTATAATAGATTAAAAATTACAGCCTAGAATGTACATTTTGTAGTAAATTCATGGTATTTATCAGCAGTATGTGCTTGCCTTTCTTTGACTAGAATCTTATTTATCAATTCTCGTAAGAAGCCATGGAAACTAATAGGAAGAGGACGGTTTCTGAATTATTTTTGCTTGTATATGTACCAATTTCCAAGTAAAATACAGTAATTCATAATTAAATTATCTCTATTAAGTGGTATTAATCCAAAAATTACATCTTTACAGGATAATGGTAAATAATCAGATATATCTACTTCATACCATGTTAAATCACTCCAAGAATAGTTTATATTACACTGGACAAGGAAGTGACATAATGTATCGACTTGTATTGGTCACAATCATTACATAAATCACTATCCGTATTACTGCATTTATGTAACCTAGTGTTACAGGGAAAGTTTATATGGAGTATTTTATATTGAAAAGCCTGAAGTTTAGTTTCATTGTAATAACAAATAATGCACCCACTAATCATTTTGAATTTCCTCAACGATTGCTGACCATTTGTTAACTGCAATTATAGCTGGTACTTCAAAAGTATTCATAAATAGATTCTAATATTGTTTGCAAGATAGTACATTACACGTTACTATATTGCAGGTACGTGACCTCTGACCTTCATACAAAATTTTCTTCCATCGAGATAGGATGGCCGCCTTTATATGTAAGTTTTACTTGTAACAAAATGTCAAGCCTTCTCATTGTATTGTCAGCAGGTAGATTTGAGTAACATTCATTCGGGGTAGTGTAGTTTGAATGGCTGATGGCTGAAATTGTTTGATCCAGTTACAATGCAAAAAAATCACGTAACACTAAGTTCCGACCCCCACACTCTATCTTTTTCGTGATCACATTTCTCTTTATTTAGTCATTTTTCCAGACCAGAGAAATTTATAAATAAGCGTCTGCATTTGGTTAATAACCCAATCTGGTGTATAAAGAACCGAACTAATGTTAGAAATCTGAGAAATGGCGATAGATTTTATAATGGTTATTTTACCTAATAAAGATAGATCCTGTTGCTGCCAGATATTTATGATAATTTTCATTTTTCTCTGACCGTGTTGTGTAGTTTATTTTAATCATTTTTTCATTATCATGGGCAAACCAGACGCCCAATGACAATACTGGTGACTGGGTTCATTTTAAGCGAAATGGCTTTTTCCAGAAAGCGATACTGTCCTAACCAAACTGCCTGCGTTTTGTCATAGTTAATTTTTAGACCAGCTGCAAAGTAAATCAAAGAAAGCTTAGAATGAACCCCCATGTGCTGAAGGTAGTGGAGGCATGGAACACAAAAAGGAATACTGTATTTATTACGATATTAGAAGCACATCTTCATTACACATAAAGCATTGTGTTTCTTGCATGCCAAATTATTAGAATACGTCTTATTTTGAACATAGATTTGTCTTTGTCCTTTATTTTTACATGAAGCACACATGCTTCGAATAGAGAAAATGATTAGGGTGGTTTAAAGTATCTATGGTTTAACAACTAACAATTTTTAATGAAATATGATCTAATATATTGGTCATATGTCTTGTCCGACCACAAAATTATAGCACCAGTTGCAGTTCCTTTTCTGCAACAGTTCTTAGTACATTACAGCTATGCATATAAAGAAACAAACATGAAACTTATAACAGGTAATTAATATGCATGGAGTTCAACTCTGAAGTAATCAGATCTGTGGATTATCTAAAAGCAATTATGTACCTAGTTTTATTAACATTTGATCAGTGGTACACTAGATATCTGTGGAGCACCTATAAATTGGTTAATATATGGTGATATGGTAATTAGTAAGTAAAAGAAATTTAACCCTAAACTGAACATGTATATGACCTATTTCTAAGCATCTGCATGTCTATGTACCAAGTTTCATTGAATCTGATGAGTGTTGAGATATTGGTGAAAAAGTTGAATATTGGCTAATTTATATGCAAATCAGGCAATTAATATGCATGGAATTTCAACCGAAATTTTATCTGGTTTGAGTATTATCTGTTAAACGGTACTTGAGAAACAAGTGAAAATGCTTAAAATTAGCTATTTTTTTTATGAATGATATGCACAGGATTTCATCCACAACTAATCAGTACTGTGCATTATCCAATAACATTTATGTACCAAGTGTCATTGAAATTTATTTAATGGTGTATAAGAAACAGTGATAATGGGTGAAATTACGTAATTTAATATGCTAATTAGGTAATTAATATGCACAAGATTTTAACCAAAACTAATCAACATATCAGCGTATTATCTCTGAACAATTATATACCAAGTTTCATTCAAATTTGTTTAATACTAATAGTACATGAATATGTTTAAAATGGGCTTATTATTTTGAAAATTAGGTAATTAATATGCACAGATTTCAATTAAAACCAAATCCGGTCTGTGTCCAGAGCATCTATGTACAAAGTTTCATTAAAATATGTTTAATAGTATATGAGAAACAAACGAGAAAGCTTATAATTGGCTAATTAATATGCAAATTAGGTTATTAATATGTACGGATTTCAACCATAAACTAATCAGGTCTGGGCGTTGTCCAAGATCATCTATGTACCAAGTTTCATTGAAATCTGTTTAACAGTACATGAGAAACAAGAAAAAATGCTTAAAATTTGCTAATTATTATGCAAATTAGGCAATTAATTAGCACGGATTTCAACCAAAAACTAATCAGGTCTGGGCATTACCCCAGGGCATCTATGGATTAAGTTTCATTAAAATCTGATTATTAGTTCTTGAGATATCAGTGTAACAAACACACAGACACACCATGCACTAACCGAAAAGACTCCCATTGTGTGTTTCGCACACGGGAGTCAAAAAGTGTAAGCGCATTTAATGAGTTTTGAATTGAAATAGCATCACGTAGATGAAGTGTGGTATTATTTTCTAGCAGTGAAATATTCACAGCTGTATCAAAAAGTTTCAACCCCGCAATTGAACTATTGCCTCTAATATAAAGTACCTTGACCCAACATCAGAAAATGCTATCAAAATTGAACACAAGCAAAGCACGTAATAGAGGGCCTTTAAGAAATCAATGAATAAACGAGCACCTGTGACATTACCCAAATAGCTTTCATGTAATACATCCGAGATCAATCGAAGATTTTGACCGATATAGCCGGTTTGATCCGGGTGAATAGTTTGTGGTAAAATGTCATGAAGTTTATTCAACAGGGCTTTTCTTTTATACTAATCCGTATTTAGCAGCTATACTATGTTTCTAATTTTAGAGTGAAAACATCTGAACCCGGGGATTTATTGTTTTATTTTAAAGACTAAAGTGCGTGCGTGCGTGCATTCAATTAAAGTTAAATCACCATCACATGTCTGCCTTTGATCTTCGTTCAAAAATATCTTCTGATTGCCGTACACAATATGCAAACTTTGTTCACTATATATTTTGGAGTAGAAATTATGCTGTCCTTTTAGAATTATTTTCATGTTTGAGGTACATGTACCGTCGTCAGTAATAATAATGCGTTTCTCAAGACTTAGAAAATATTCTGTACACTTTTCTCCTCCTCTATCCACTGTGCGCGTGAACGTCACCTTACGTGAGTGTAATTTTTAACTTCTCAAATTCTGATTTCACAGCCACATATTCGTATTTCACTTCTAGCAAAGTGTCTGCAAATTATGTTGACTACTTGAAAAGTTTATGCAAAGTATTTTGAATCTTTGCAAAACGTCTACAAATTAGTTGGCTCTATTCGAAGTGTATTCGACCCCTCTCAAAGGGACTCCAATGTATTTTACTCCTTGCAAAGTGTCTGCAATATATTGATAACCCTTGTAAGGTGTATGTAAAGTAGTTTTACTCCTTGCAAAGTGTCTGCAAAGTATGTTTCACTTCTTACAAAATATCTGTAAAATATATTAACACCTTGCAGGGTATTTGCAAATTTTAAGTCTTTTGAGACTTTGCAAAATGTCCTCAAAGTAATTTTCAAGAAGAAATCCAAAATGTAATTTATAACAAAAGCGACACATAGTCAATTAATTAATTACAATCTCATTGTCCCTATAGAATAATATAACATGAATTGTATAAATGTTTCCAAAATTTGTACAACATCTATCTAAGTCGAATTCGGTACGAAAACACTAGCAGACGTCAGAAAGGTCGTGGAAGCGGAAAAATACATAGCTCTGGGTCATAATAATAAAGCGAAATTTAAAGTAAAATGAGAAAAACATTGAACTGGTATACTACAATGTGTAATACGGTGCCTCGTGGTTGTGTTTTTGTGTTGAGTGAGTGAGTGTCGTTGGATTTTGTTTCAATTTAATAAAACTTTGTATTTTGGGGGGAATAAATATAGTAGCCGATATTTAAGTTGGAAACAACATATCAACATATTATTATAAACAACATATCAACTGATAGATATTGATGAGCACAGTAATAACGCCTGGTTCTCATTATCACTAGTATAAATTTCTGACAAATTTCTAATTAAAGTAAGCCACATTTTACCTCGTATCTTAAAAATTATATTTGCTAGTCACACATTTTATAGTGATTATTAAGATTTCCAAATTTGAATTACCGTAACTACCAGAAGAAAACAATTGTATGTGACTTTTCATCAACATCGTGAGAAAGATACTTAGACCTCATACTAAAATTGAACTTGACCAAGACCCCAAACTGGTTAATAGCATATCAAAGTTTGAAAAAGATTGGATCAAAACAGTAGTCAACAGTGACAACATCTAATACATTGATAGACTATCGTTATGATGTATTTGGCAATATTTTTAATTAATTAAAAAAAAAAACAATTTCGCGATTTGAATTTCATTCCACAATGTGCCAACATCGAATATCTATGCGTACGGACAAATCTTCGTAAAAACTGAAGTTAAATTATGAATAGCTTTTCATAAATGCCCGAAAATACGTTTGCTTCATTTGTGTTGATATACATGATATATTTTGTTATGTCGACATGCGTGAACCATACCTTAGCATTCGGCGAGTGGACAGTGCTTTCCAACGATGGGAATATCATTTAAGATTGTTTTCGAGATATTCTGACCACAAGGCACCTCCACATCATACATATTCTAAAAGTAGCAATACTGAAATTTGTTTTGATATATAATGACAGTTTGTGTAAGGCGAGGACGTAAAATCAAAAAAGTCATGGACTTCGCCGCTCGCCTACTAGACACTCATTTCAACGCTGGGCTCGTAGTATATCATTTACGACATCGTAGATCATATACACTAATGACCTCTTGCGTACCTCAGCAGTCCAATTAAAATCGACATGTGTCTGGCGAATACTTTGCAAGTTAAATAAACATCATTCAATTATTTATATCGAATTGATTTTCTCTGTTTATACGTTCTCGCAATTGGAGATTGTTTGCCAAGTAAGAAACACAGTTACCAGGAACAGATGAGGCAAAGACTCGAGGAACGGCACACGATAATATATACAATGTTGCCAATTTTATTGTATTTACTGAGTTTCGGCTACGGAGAGACCGCTGTCAACTACACTGTGGATGACTCAAATGTGTGTAAATACACGTTCATGGTTCCCACTGGACAGGCTAACTTGTGTTCTGCTACGTCTACCGAAGTGACAAATCAACTCCAAAGTTTACAGAGTGAAAGTCGTAGTCATAATGAACAACTCAGCCGGCTTGCAACTCGCCTAGTTCAAGTGGAAGCTGAACTCATGCGACAATCAAATCAAATTAATGACCTATTAACCGATATAGTTATGTCAATGAAAGGTAAGATAACATTATAGTGTCATTCCTAGTTAAACAAAATATGACATCGTGTTATAATCATTTTTAGCTTTAGGCGCCAAACACAGTCAACATTCATATATAATATACTGTATTTTGTAGTACAAGAAAAAACATGCAAAGAACCATGGATTCAAATGGGACAGTCGTGTTATTGGTTCGCTAAAAAGGGACAGTCAACCAACTGGAGTAACGCTCGGCTGTTTTGTCAAGTGATGGATGCAGATCTGTTGGTTATCAACAACAACGAAGAGAAAGTCCGAATAGAGGCATATGTGGACGTCTTAGATGCAACTAACAGCTGGTGGCTGGGATGCACTAATGTGCCAGTAAGTGGCTATCCATCCCATTGTAACCAACATATGTTTTTATCATTTATGTGTATCGCATATCGTCTCAGTAAATTTTGAACCAAATTTACGTAATTTCACGTTGCGTTATGTCATGCCTTGAACAAATATTTCGGAAAGATGTGGACAAAATTGAATTTCTTTTGTGGTTTTTTAGGCAAATTCGCCATTCCGTATATAGCGTACGTCACGTATACTAATACATTGACAATGACAACAATGACAACTGACAATGTATGACGTACTTTGGAATATATCCAAGACCGGGGTTCATTAAGGAGTATGAATAGCCAATCTTGTGAAATTAGGGATTTGTATAAACTCAATGCACGGTACTTTATGTGATTTCGCTAATCTCGGCAATGTTTTTATCCTAATGTCAGCATTGCAGATTTGTCCGATAGACATATTACAATTGGCTGACAGTAAAACTTGGGAAACTAATTGGCAACCGTATAGGTTACAATAACCTCCACGGAAACTCGGTGGAAGGTAAATCATTTAGTGTGAAATTGGAATCCCACAGGGGTCCCGGAAACAATGTTGCTTATTAGTTTCATTAATGGCCCATTCGAACAGTGTTGATGATTGTAAAACAAATATTTATGTAGATGTATACATTAGCGGCCGATTTTACTCAAAAGGAATTGCCTGAATTCATTAAAGTATTGCTTTTAAGAAATAGTGCAAGAGTCGTATGTAAACAACTAATACGTTATGAAATCACTTAGCGAAACTACCAAGGATGTTTATTCTGAAACGAACCTCGAGGCATGCAAATAGACCAGGTTTGATATTTATATATTCGTTGCTGCCATCACGTCGCCAAGGATTAGAGTAATCGATGTGCGACAGTGTGCGAGGCACATTTTATATCTCATCCGAAATATGATAAATTTTAAAAACATTTAGTGAGAAAAATATTTTGCCGAGGTTTTATGTATGTATAATTCATGGCAAATTTAAGTTTTCAATATAATTTATGTGTTGGTACTTTTTTTATTATTGTGACCGCCAATATACTATGTATGACTTCTACAACCTGTTATCAACGTTGGGTATGTGTTTAAAGATGCAATATGAACGACAACATGTATCTTTTTATATTGATAATTAATAGTGTATGTTGATGACTACATTGTACTATATGGTTTATCATGATATTCGATGAAATAATGAAATTCTTTGATACGCATGTACACTGGATGTTTTAATAGTGCAATAATAATCACTGGGCATAGGTATTAATGGTTTTAATTCCCCCTAAAAACCGAGGCGGCGGCATGCTCATAGGCGCAACAGGTCGCGCATTTTTCAGGGCGAATGCGCCCCTTGACCCCCGTGCCGCCACCACTGCCGAACCAATACTGATATGTTAAATACAAATTCGTTTAGTTTATAAGAAATCATAATCGAATTGGGTTTACATTATAGAGTATCGAACAACAATTTCGTCTATATTGCATCTTTAGTCGTACAATATTATATATCGATACGCACAGAACAATGGTGTATTTACGTCACGCAACATAGTACACGTTTATTGAAATATTTAATTACCCAAATATGCATGTCTTTTGAGGTACGCACCAATAATTCGGGCCCGCGCACATGCATTCACACAGTTCATTATTTGATGATGAAATAAAATTAAGGGTGAATATCGAATGATAATAATGTATATCAAACATATACTCAGTTACTATGATTTGAACAGTGTGGAACAAGTGTTATTTGCATAGTCGATGTAATACTATTATGGCATGGCAGTGATGCGTTCCTCTCCCAACGCGTTTATACTCAATATTATTATTATTATTATTATCTTGTTTATCAATCAATCAATCATACCGATTAAAACCACTAAATGTCAAAATCAAATCAAATCACAAAATAATTCGCAACACCATTTAATCACTTGTTTATTTATTTTCTCAACCCCACAGAAAGGTAAATGGCATTGCGTGGACAACACTACACTGGATTTTAGTAACTGGTCTTCGGGTCATCCTTCGTCACGTTTGAGTCGATGTGTTCACATGTGGCGTCTTGATAACCAGGCATGGAACGACGCCCATTGCAACCAAGACTGGGCATTTATCTGCGAAAAGAAAATCAAGTAATGACGTGGTCACAAGGAATATTGCCCTCTATGTGACCTAGCAGTTAATATGAGTTGACTGTTGTCCAGTGTTTGGTATATACTATATCCATTGGTTAATGTGCTATATAATATTTAACTGTATTAGTGTACGATATATATTATATCATGCTTCTTTTTCACGAAGCGAACGCTATTTAAAATTTTCTTTTAATAGGTATTTTTCTGTTGTCAGCGCAACTAAGAAATTTCGAGTTTAGAACATTCACAATATTTGCGAAATATTTGTTGGCTGCAACTTAAGCAGTTCTCACCATGTTGTAGCCACTAGTATAGTGTTTACATTAATAGTACAGTGTTTACATTGATAAAACACTAAACGCCCTCGCCGACTGACCCACTAGCAGCTTTCACCTGAGTCCGTCGGCGAGGGCGCATCGACTCATATCGACTACAATGCAACATGGACATTATCAACAGTATTTAATTACTAGTATTATTATAAATTGCCAGTCTGATATCGACGAAATAAAGATATTATCTATAAATTTCCGTGCCGTTGCCATTTATAAAAGGACACAGAAGCGTAGTAAGGACGTTTTAATTGAAAAAGGAACAAACAACAAAATAATAGTACTTTCGAAACTTGTTTCTCACTGGCACTATCGTTTGCAGAATACATAACGTCATATGTTTCACCCGAAGCAAGCAAGACATAGAAGTGTAGGCTCCTGAATTAGTTATGATCGAATTTACCAACAACTCATCATTACACTACGTGTATCAACCAAACGTAAGCGTAAGCACCAACTTGAAATACAACTTGTATTATACAAAAACGAACAATAACCGGATACAAGGCATCGGACTGAAGCCATGTGGTTAACTATTTTCGCACGGAGACACAATTCCCGAAATATAAATATTTCATTTGTTTGGTAAACTATCGACTCAGTG